TACTTCGCTTATTTTTTTCTTCCCATTGTTCTGAAATAAGAATAGAAAAGGAATTATATTTTCTACTCGGAAGCATGAGAATGGCATCTTTTGAATATTATTCTAAAAAGTAGAAAGATTAAATTTTTTGAAACTTCTGCTGAAAACAAAAATTTTTTAACTTCGCAAAAGAAAATTCTTTCTGCGAGAACTCAATAGCATTCTGCAACAATGTTACCACGGGGTTAAAGATAAACATAAAAACCCAACAATATATTTTAAAATTTTGGATATATAAAAAAAAAAAAAAAATACTTTGATTCTGATATTTAACTAGCAGTTTTTTTTTTTTTTAAACAGGGAAAAATTTTGTAAAGAGACTCATTTTGTTTTTACGATAAAAATTTTGTGAGAATTTTTTTATCATTATTTTTAATTTGATCGAAGTCATTCCCAGGGCTGCCTAAATTTTCCCTGTAATTTTTTTTACATGTGTGGACATATTCTGCACCCCTGATAGAGAGTTTAAATATTTATCTTTGTGTATGTGGGTGATTCTCACGAAATATGAGAATTCACTGTCCCTTGCTCCAAGATGTAATACTATAATACTAAAAGAACTTTCTTTTAAAAAAAATTAATAAATAGCATTGCTGTTATCATTTTAAAATGACTTTACACTAGCATTGACTGTTTTGTATAGTTAAAAAATTGAATTGAACTTCAAAATTTTATGTTTCTGGCATGCCACAGACAATGTTTCCAATCATAACTAACTTCAAAACTTCCCATAAAATTTCAATATCTAATTTTTTTTAGCTCAATTTTTTTTATCTAATTCTTTCTACAGTGGATAAGAAGAATTGATTTAAGTAATTTATGGTCCATCTAACATAAAGGCTTAAGTTGAGTTACTTACTATACTTAAAATGACTGTTTTTTAAACTTCTAAGCTAATATGTCATTTTCCTGGCATTGAAGATTTGGTGAATTTCTATTTTATTTTTTATCTTGAGCAAATGTCTATAAATAGCTGTCTGTAAGATATTAATAAATGTAACCAAAGAATTATACAAAAAAAAGAAGAAAAAATTTAGATTATTTTGAAGACTTTAAATTTGAAGAAATTGTTTAGTCCGAATTGTCATGCTTCCAAAGAATCACCCATATATCATGTGCATGCATTTTAAAGAATGATTACAGTAGAGTTTTAATAATTTGAGTCTGGAGTTTCTCTTAATCTGAATAAGTGAGGAAAAAAAAAGCAGTTCAGTATCCATAGAATGACTAATGCTTACATGACTCAAGAAAGAATTATTACTTCTGCCTTGTAAAGCCATCTTAACCATACATAACAGGGTTTCACATCCAAGGGAGGAGGAACTAAATTGTGATGAGATTCTTGCAATGTTTTTATCGTGACATCTCAATTGAGCCTATGAATCAAGTGCTACAATGTTTAAGAAGGTATTGTCGTAGATGGCTACATTGTTTAAAAAAATTCATCACTGCAGATTTTTACTAGCCATCAAAGAACATTTAACTGTGCTGAAATTTAAAAATTGCTTTATTTCTATTTATTTATCCCATTTACCTCCAACTCAGATTAACAAAGCTCTGCTGTATTATATTAATTACACATTACTATAATAGCATTTAGATTGTCATATCTTATTAGTATAGATAAAGTTTTTTACAATCATTTTCTGGCAAAACATTTTATATATTTTTTTTAAATTTCAATTTTGAAGTTCTTTTTCTTGTACTAAACACTTTAAAAAGCAAAAAAGAAAAGTTTTTATTGCTATATTAATGTATCTTAGTGTTGTAATTATATATTTATTTATTTTTTTAAATTTAGTTATTTATTTATTATATTTATTTCCTTATTTATTGTTTTGTGATCTCTATGTTAATCTGGGTGCATTTAAATTTAAGGCTGCAGACTTTGCTCTAATGGTGATAGGAATTCCAAATGTAGGAAAATCTTCTATAATAAATAAACTCAGAAATATTCATCTAAAAAAAAGTAAGGAACAGCAAAAAAGTCCTAATTTTTATTGCTAGTTTTGTATTATTTAATCAAAAAGTGTGATCTTATTAATTTATTTTTAAGAAAAAGCTTCACATGTGGGGGCTGTTCCAGGCATCACTAAATCTGTTTTGGAGAAAATTAAGGTATGTAATATTTTCTTCATTAACTCTATATTTGTAATTAATTAAAATATAAAAAATTTGTATTACAATTCTTTTCAATATTCTCAAAAAATGAAACCTTCAAATTTTGAATATGGCTGAAGACACCAATGAATTAGTTACATCAAAGAGTTGATATGTTAAGATTTATATTTTTTGTTTCCTTTTTAGTCAATAAAGTAAATAATTTGGCATTCTAAAAAATATGTATCATGTAAAATATTCAGAAACAGAACAAATGACAGGATCAAAATGGTTTATTCTGAAAAATATTTACAATATAGTTAGCAGCATATTTTTTCTTTTGTTCTTAGTGTTTTATTTACATTTTCTTACTTTTAAAGTAGCATTCCAATATGTTCAGCTATTTATCCTTTTATTTCAGTTACATTTTTAGTACAACATTGCTTTGTTTTTGACAGCGTTTGAAGATTATTAAATTTTCATTTACTGTTGATTTTACCAACATTTTAACTTTATTTGAAATTTAAACATCTGACTGAAATTTCAAGTTTAGTTTCTTGTTGGAGTGACTAAAGGAAATTATTTCGATATTATTTATCTGAAAAGGGATTGGAATAAAAGTAATCATTTTGAAATCTTAAAAACTAATTTTTTTTTTCTGGTTAGAAAAAACACATCACAAGGAATTCTAGCAAAAAATTAATTGATTGGAAAAGCTCTTTATTTTCTTATTATGAGAATAGGAAATTTATTGGAAAGTGCATTAGAAATAAAGATTGCTCGATTACATCAAAAAATCGATGGTCTTTCATATTTTTTTTTTAAAAATTGGCTAACTGTATGCTTATATTTATCTTTGAAATTCAACAGAACTGTAAAACTGTAAAAATTAAAAGACTATTTGTTATTTGCTGAAACTGCTATGTATATTTAGTTATTTTATGACAAATATTTTTAATTCATTAAATTCTGAAATTTATTATAAATGATTTAATATACTTTACCAATTTATTCTTAAATATAGACTAGAACAATAGATGTACTCATCTACTATACTTTATCACATGGTTATGATTGCATATTTCACTGTTATGAGTTAGGGTTTGATTGTGCACTAATTACATGCTGTACATTGTATGTATTTTTATTTAATTTTTAAAAATTAAATAGTGCAGCGCTACAGTTTTTTTCCCTTCATATTTCAAAATTGTTTAAGAAATATATTTAGATTATCATTGAATTTTTCTCCCCCATATATAATCACATTATTAAATTTTTTTATTCAGACTAAGAGGAATAAATCAAAATAATTATAAGTTTGCATTTTTAAATTTAAGGAAACTACTAGGTCTGTTTAGCTATTACTTCTGAGTTTTTTTCCCGTACATTATATCTGTTTTTGTTTATCTTGAAATTAATAAAGGTAAACATTTTATGATGCAGTTTTTGTTTTTCGCAGCACATTATAAAATCGTGAAAAGCTCTTTATTCTGAAAAGAATTTCAACACAAAGTGTATTGCTTGATGACCCAAAACATAGATTAAAATACCATGTTTATAAGCTTAAGTTCAAAATTTGAAGGAGACTCAAATGTTGAAAACTTAGAAGATTACACTTTTAGATCGACCAATGATTTGGTGATGATCCAAAAATTAATACAGATAATTTCATTAAATTTGGTTGTTATTCTATTTTATATTTATAAAAAATGTTACTTTTTCACTTATATAAATGCTAAATATATTTTTAATTATTTTGTGTTTCATATCAAGTATTGCTATGATTTTTTTATTTCGCTCTCTAGTAAAAGTTCATAAATGTAGTTTTTAATCAGTGTCCATTTTTTGAAATGTAAATAATTTAATAAAGTGCACTTAAAATTTTTTTTATTTTAGAGTAAAATGCATTTGCTTTTTCTGATTGTTAAAAATTTTTAATAATGTATAAATAAATAAAAACTTTGTTAAGTAATCTGTAATACTCTAAAGTTCTGAGTTTTTAAAATCTTTATAAAATAAACTAATTATTAATAAACTAATAATTAACTTATATTTTACAATACCTAGTGTTTTTAGCAAAATGATTAAAATCATTTTAAAAATACTACTTTTATTTTTGATTCAAGTATTTTGTAAAAATAAAAACCCATCAGCAAAAAATGTAAAGTTTTCATAATTTTGTTATTTTATTTTAGAATTAAAACATTTGTGAATTTTGGGTTACATTAAAAGTTCAGATAAATCCAGCTTAAAAAAAAGGCTTAAAAATCTTAAAAAATTAAGTTTTTAAAAATAACGAATATTGAATTAACAATGTAGTAAATAAAGGTTTCAGAGTTTAAAAGATCAACGTTAAAGGATTGTTTTACTAAAATAATATATTTTTTGTGGACTTATAGATTATTAGCTTTTTGAAAGTAAGTGGTCATGAAATTTAAAATTTTCTGATGACAAACTTTTGGATGATATTGTTTTTGAAACACAGGGATAAATTTTCTTGCTTATTCTAGCCATAGCAGGCAAGAAGCATTGCCCTCTATTCAATAAAATTTGATATTATTTTTTTTAATATCAATGTAGTCTGTTATATTTTTTATTTATTTATAATGTTTAAAGACTTGAAATTATCAATATATTTAAATTATTATCAAAATGAATAAAATCTAATGAATTCCTTTAACAAGCATTTTACTGTTATAGTTATTTTTATTTCTATATTTTTAATATATTTTGTATGAGCTTTGAAAATATATAGTATTAGAGATTTTCCTTTATCAAATGCATTTACATGTATTTAACTAAGTAATTTAAATAAAATTTTGATTACAAATTATTGCTAAAATGTCTATATTTTTGATTAGATATCAGAAAATCCCAAAGTTTATTTATACGATACTCCAGGCGTGATGCAACCAAAGATTGATAATATAGAAGTAGGTCTTCGATTAGCTCTCTGTAGTAAGTTTTTGTTATACTTTGTTTTAATTTTTTAAGCAACGTGAATGCATTAAATAGTGAGTAAAGGACTTGACAATCAAATCAGATCTTGTAAAAACTCCTATGTCTTATAACTTAGATAATATTATAAATACATCTAACTCTATCAGGGGTCTGTCTAGGTTTTTCTAAGTGGTACCTATTTTGTGAAAAATTAAAAATTATATTAAAAAATCAACGCAAAAATATGGTTAAAATATGGATTTATCGTTTCTTAAAGAATACGGAAGTAAACTTTTAAGAAAAAGTATTTTGTGAAACTACCATTTTCCTAAACTTGAATTTGTGAAACTATCGTTTTTCCGACAGTTGAATTTGTGAAGGTACCGCTAAACGGTAGTAGATTCGGTCTGCACAGACCCCTGTCTATCAAACAAAGACTTTTTATATGTAAAAGTGCAAAGAGTTTTATTTAGATTATAGAAATAGTGCTTTATATTAATCTTGATATAATTAGATTCTTGTTAGTCTTGCAGTCATTTTTAACTGGATAAAAAAAGTAGATCAACTAGAAATTGTTGATTAAGTTTCAATATCACTAATATATGTGCTGATATCTTTAGACAGAATTACCAAATATAGTTAAAATAATACTAAAGGACTTGGTAAAAACATTTATGGTTATTAGTTAATGAACAATTTTAATTGTAATTTTATGTTCAATAATAATTAAAAATGATGCATTCTACAGTACCATTCAATTTATGTTTAATAACAGTGCAACTTTTAAATTTGAAGAGTCAAATCAGTTTAAGAAGAAGGCTATTGGAATACACAAACCCTATAAATGTCGGAAATGTTTTTTAAAACCAATCTTAAAAAAATTTTGTCTTAAAAAAATTTTATGTTAGGAGTGTTAAATATAATTTTCTTTGTGTAATTTGCTTTACATACAATTTGCTTTATTGCTTTAAATATAAATATGTGTTTAAATTTTCCTTTTCTTCTAGAGCAACATCAGATACATTTGTATATATATCTGGGAAATTACACATGTTATTATTATACTTATTATATATGTGTAATTACACATATTATCTGTGTAAATACACTTATTATGTATATTTGTACATACATACAGGATGCTTCAAAATTATGTGGTCAGAATGAAAAGGGAGAAAAACATTTAAAAAATAAAAAAATGGCACAGGAATGCGTGGCAATGAATCACTCTTAAATGCTATTATATGGTTAACTTAACTAAAGGTTTATAATATTATTGTAATGTGTGTCTGAAGATGTGTGACAAAAACACCTTGTACATATTCTTTAGTACAGTACAGAACCCGTTATCGGGAAATCAGAAAACCAAAAACCGGAGCGAAATTCGATAAATTTTCCGCCATTTAAAAAAAAACATTTTTTTTTCCTCATAAGATTTTAGGATTTTTCTTTCTTTTAGGAAAGATGTTTACTGTACTATTGTGCACGATTACGACGAATTGAACTACGATGAACTATAATAATAATAACATTTATTTACATAACAGAGGTTAATGGTTGAGTTTCCGCCAGATTTTGAGGAGCTGTATTCGGGTTTGCAGCTAAATAACGCTCAGCGCGAGATTTCCACAACACAAATTTATCACGATAATCTTCGCGACTCTCAATTTCTTCTTCTAACTTATCAATATCAATTAAATCCTGAACTTCCTTATCAAGTTTACACATCTCTTCAAATTTAGCAACTAATTGTAAAAATGTTTCGTTAACAATTATTTTATCGGAACTATTATCTATTTCTGCTTCAAGTTTTTTAATTTGCTTCGTTACTAACGATCTTGAAACAGCCCTAGCTTTAATTGTTCTTTCTAACAAAGCCTTTTTTGCCGCATCCATTTTAAACTTATTATTTCAATTACAAAACAAATACTCAAATAACAGTCACAACCTCAATTCACTCTTAGAACAACAATAAATGCAATAAAACGCATTCAAAACAGAAATACAAATAATAAACACTGAAATTCATAATACATACTAAATCCTAAATCGAAAGTGTAACCAACAATCATTTAAATAACACTTCTATAAACATTACATTCTAACAAATTTCTTTTCTTAAATGAAATCGAAAATCAAAACCAATACGAATTATATTCCAAATACTCTAACCATGCCTTATTTCGAAATAACCTTATTCAAACACTATTCATTCAAAATATCCAACTAAATTATTTATCTAAACAAATCGAAAGCAAGATATACAATAATTCAAATATCTCCAATAATATAACAATATAACAAATTCCTATTCTTAACGAAAATTTAAACACATACTAACTATACGAATTGCATTTCAAAATTCTCAAACTACACCATAATTCAAAATTACATTATTCAACGAATACCTTCAAATATACGACTAAATTATTCAATGAAGAAATTTAACATTTCTAACTATTCCAAAAGAAAACGCAACGAACTTACCCCAATCATGCAGCGAAACGACGAACGAAAACAACGACGAAAACTAATATAATAAATCGGTGGTTTCTTAGGCCATTTCCCGGCCGATGCACCAAAATGTGCACGATTACGACGAATTGAACTACGGTGAACTATAATAATAATAACATTTATTTACATAACAGAGGTAAGTTCACACAAGCTGCGGAAAACCGCAGGCAATCCTTTTACATGACAATCACGACTACAACTACTGTATTACAACAAACTTAGGGGAGGCAGCCGGTAGCTGCTTACTTCGCTCCTTTTACATTGGATTGTGCGCCAAAGCGCTTTGTGCAAATTAATTCGGCACAACTATCATTTTGGAAATAATCATTAGTGTATTACTTCGTTTTTTTCTTCTTTTTAAGATTATTTCCAAATATAATTTTTTTAGTTGTTTTTAACAATAAAAAAACGGCTTTTTGTAGCGATTCAGAAAACCGGAAAAATCAGTTATCCGGAATAGCGATGGTCCCGATCGTTCCGGATAATCGGTTCCCTACTGTAGTATTGTTTTTAAATAAGTAACCTGTGTGAAAATGCAGTTTAAATAATATAACGATGAATGATTTTTGTTTTTTCTACTTTTACATCTTATATGTTTAGCAAACCCTTCTAGTGATATGGAATTGTGTTTTGTGGCACACATCCACATTTATTATGGATTTTTGATTCTTTTTGCATGCTTGCTTTGTTCTTTTATTTCTGTCACGTCATGGAGAAGCGCAATATATCCAGATCCTATTATATTTTTGATGATCTGCTATTGCTAAAAAGAGAAAGGCAATCTGTGACTTTTGTAACCACAGTGCTGACGAAAAAATATCAATTGGTAGACAGATTATGGGTTAGAATCCCTTTGCTGTCAGGCTAACTGTGGGAGGTTTTCTTGGTTTTCTTCTCCGTGTAATGTAAATGCAGGTTAGTTCCATCAAAAAGTCCTCCACAAAGGCAAATGTCTCCCAATAATTGATCCAGGAGTTGTCTGTCGAAGTAGTTTCTAAGTGAAACTGATAATCTTAGTGATTAAGATTCTGAGTGAATATGTTATTTGTTAATTGAAATATGTTTCTATGTGAAACTTGGAACCTGTGTGGTTCAATATTAATTGGTTACGAATCTGTGTGACTCATGTTATTATTAAAGAATAAGCATAATCATTAATTGTCTTGATTGACTATTTTAATGGTAACCAAGGCATTTACATATATATATATATATATATATATTTACTTTAATGATCAATGTATTTAAGAATTTAAAAAGTAAAATAAGTAATAAATTTAATTTAAAAAATATTAAATATATTTTTAAAATAAAATTATTCATTTTAAAAGCCATATCATTTTAATAAATTGTTCTTCTGATTGCTTACAATTATTTTTAACTGTTATTATTATTTCTATTTTTTTATAGGAACTTTAAGAGATGACCTCATTGGGGAAGCTTTAATTGCAGATTATTTATTGTATTGGTTAAATAAGAACAAAAACTTCAGGTAAGCTTTAAATATAACTGTGTTGACTGATTTTCTTTTTGGTAAATATACAAGAGGTGATCAAATGAAAAGGTACGAAACGACACTGTGGGTATAAATGTAGACTTTATTCAAAATATGCACCATAGGCCTGAGCACCACGATCCCACTGATGAATAAGCCGCAGGATTCCTTGTTCCCAGAATTCCTGTGGCCGTGACGAGACCCGGTCCTTCACAGCGTCCTTGAGTACGTCGTCCGAGTTGAAGCGCTTTCCTTTCAGGTGTTTTCTTCAGTGGATCTAACACATGGAAATCGCAGTGCGACATGTCTGGACTATAGGGCGGATGGTCCAACGTCTCCCACTTTAACTTGGCCAGTTCCATGTGTGTGACTCTGGAGACGTGTGGGCACGCGCTATCATGGAGCAGAACCACACCCTCCGTGAGCAGCCCTGCTCTTTTGTTCTTGATGGACGTGCGTAGGCGTCGGAGTGTCTCACAGTATACATAGGAGTTAATGGTTTTTCTGTGCTCGAGTTTCTGTTCCTCATACGGACTGCCGTATCATTTGGACGCCGCTTTTGATAAGAGCCTCTGCTCTCTCCTGCTCATGCAGGTGCCCGCGCATGCTCCAATCCAGTCAGAGACTCCAATCGCATCCCGAGATGTCTCGCTACTTTCTCCCATGGCGGAATATGCAAATGTTTAACTGTTACGTTTTTATGTCGTTTCGTACCTTTTCATTTGATCACCCCTTGTATCTCAAAAAGTTATGAATTCATTGAATTGAATTTTATTTTATACAAAAACAAATATGCAAAATTTAATTTAGTTTTGGTGTATAATTTAGATGTGTTTTTTTTTCTTCCTAAATTTAAAATGTTTTGTGGTCACTAAAGTATTTTTTATAAAATCGAAATATTACATTGCAAGTTTTATTTGCATCAAAATCAGTTCACAACTTTTTGAGATATGTGACTAAAATTTGCATTTTCATTAAGTTAGTATTAATCAAAGCTCTCTAAGTAAGGCTGAAGAACCTAACAGTTTATTAAGAACTAATAATTATGCAAAACTTCCAAAGTTTCTTTTGTTTTACATTTAAAACTAAAATATTTTACAACACTTTTGAGTTAATTTCCTAAATTTTACATACCACTTATAATAGTACAAAAGTCAGATTGCATTAATTTTTCTGGTCTAGCTGTTCATTCATACTAACTTTGTATAGTTGTTTGTTCTATTGTGCTATATAGTAATTTCTATTTTTTTTAAAAATTCTTATCTTAAATTTTGCACTTATTGAATACATTAACTAGGCTGCCACAAAACTGGGAAAAGACAGAAAACTTTATAAATCTTATAAAAAATCAAGGTAATGCCAGGGAATTAAATTGAAATTCCAAAAAAGTGTGAAAAAAATTACGTAAGATGAATTTCAAATTAAGTAAAAGTGTTCTGTATCTGAAAAGTTAATTATAAAATTTATGTATTTGTATAACTTGTTGTAAAAATCAGAGGAATTGGGTAAAATTAGTTGGTAGGATAAAATCGAGTGAAAAATGATTTTGTTCCTGAGTCTTTATAACTACTCTGATTAAATTCAGTTTAAAAGTACAAAATATCAGGTAAATGAGAGGTTACTAGTTTCCCCCCCCCTTCAATATTGACATTTCAGTCGCGTTCAGATTATTTTGTGTTGTAATTGTAAAACCCTAAATATTACTTTCATTGTACGAATAAATGCTGTAGTTGCTGAAAGTTTAGCATAATTTCTTCTTGGATAACTTTTTTGTGTGTGCAATTGTCAGTTAGTGTTGTAAAAGTGTTGTTTACAATATAATATGTGTATATATTTGTATTCCATTTATTGTGTATATATATATATGTATATGTATATATATATATTACATCAGAAATACAAATCTTTTGATTATTCAAACTGATAGTTTTAGGAACTGCATTAGTATTTGTAGAATATGTGATAACAAAAACAACAAAATCGAACACAGACATTGTCAGAAATCAGAGCAAAAAGCTAAAAAAACATGAGAATAAAGTTTTTTTTTCTTTATCAGGAATTCAGAAATTTCAGGACTATGAACTCGGATATTATTTAACTTATTAAATAAACTATTATGCTAAAATAAATGGAGAGAAAATTTATACTTTATTATTAAACTATTAGTATAAAAACTTACTTTTATTATATCTTTCCTTATCAATTTTGTATCTTTTTTATCAAATAATTATAATGCACCATATAAGAAAACACTTTTTAATTATCATTCATATAAAATATATATGATATATTGCCTTAAATATATAAAAATTTATATTATGTTAATGGATTAAAAAATAATTATGTTCCATGAAATTTAATTACATACTAATATCATAAATTATACACATCTAAATAATAACATTAATTAAACAATATTGAAATATAGCATTTCTATATTACGGGCAAGCAAGGTAGAAAATCATTCTTTATGGTATCACTAAAATCAAATTTAAATGCTGAATGTTTATTTTGCTTGCTAAATAAAGCTGCATACTTAAATATTTAGTTCTTTCCTTTTTTATTAGATATTTTGTTAATATATTTAAAGAAAAGAGTGGATATTTTTAGTTGTTTATTGAAAATATTAATTAATAGTTAAAGGAATAGTTAAATGCTATGAAAGACCTTGAATTGGCTCGGTTAATTTCAATTGGCTTAAAATAATGTTCCACAAATTGTTTTAAAAAAACACAAAACCCCCAGTTTAAACAAAAAAAACTGGTTTCTTTTCAACCATATGGTAACCTAAGGTAAAATATAAATTTATTTCTTACCATCCTTTTTGTTGATTTTTAAATTTTGAGTTTTATCTTCATTGTTGATCTTCCATCCTGACTCCCTATGAAAGAAAAAAAAAACTATAATTAGAATATGATAGTTGTAAAATTAGTTAAAACAAAAACAACAAAATCGAAACATTAAAAAAAAAAACTGTTTCTAAAATCATGTATGAAGATTAATGTAAATATTTTTATTTCAGTTATGGAATATGACAATAAGTTCATTGTTTATCATTTATCTTGTTTATACTCTAAGCATGTGGTGTGTTAGAGGAACTAAATGTGAATTGATAAATTCAATAAAACTTAGCACGAGCTTGTAGGGGAATACTTTTAGCCTTTCAGCCCAAATTTAATGTGGACAAAGTTTTTAATTTTTTTCATGTATTTTTTTAAGTAAAAAATATTTGCTAAAATAATTGCTTTAATACGAATATTATATGCTGGTGAAACTTATGGAAAAATGAAATGTTATATAATATTATCATTTCAAATAAAATAACGAAAAATATTTCGTTATTCATTCATAACTTTACGTAGTTATTTTAACAGTAAAAATAATTTCTTTTAAAATTTTGTTTTCTAACTAATTAAAAAAATAGAATGATAAAAAAATGTTATAACAGGCATGAAAACAGAGAAAACAAATACTAAAATATCGTAATGATATAAAATTGTCAGCACATCTTTTCACCTAATTTATACATTTATAAA